AAATCTAAATGATGATAAACGATTTCGAATAATTATTTTTCTGGAAAATTTCTTTACTAAAGAAAAACTTTCTAAGATTCATTTTGTGATGACGGCGGAGAGTGAAGAAGTTAATAATTTGTTATACACTCTTATTTATAAAGAAGCTGAGGAGTATTTTAGTATTTATAAAAAGGATGATGTTATTAATATTGAATTTTTTAACGATCTACAAAAGTTCTCTGATTTATATTTATGTCTGAATAATAAAACGTTATATAATTTTTATAGCATCTTACTTGAAAATTTACGATTTATAATTGCGTCGGGGAAAAAAACATTGCCACAATTATTTGAAAGTATAGCATTACTAACCAATGTAGACGTTAGATACAGCATAGGAGAAGAGCGTATTTATTTTAATAAAGTAGAAGCTAAGAAAATGTTTCAAATCTTAAATATTGACAATCCCGAGAATTTAGAAAACTACGTTGAAAGTTTAATTAAATAATTTTAATTTATAAAACTGTAGATTTTTGTCTTGCCATGAAGGATAACTACCAAACTTGTCTATCATCAATATATATAAAAAGTTTGAATCTGAGTATTTATTTATTTTTTTACCCTTCTATTTTCAAATTGTAAAACGATTTTTCAAATAAATAGCAATCTTTCATAGTTGATTATATTGCACAAAGCTTAATTTTTCTTATATATTTTTCCTTTGTTTTATTTAATTATTCAAATTATAAAATACGCGCTATTGTCATTATATAATTAAAAGTGAGCAATGTTTAATAATAAACAATACATACATGCACAAAGACATATACACATAATTTAAACAAAAAAAACACGTATCGAATTTGAGTCCTGTTTTAAACGGGATAGCGTAAGCTATCATCTATCTATCATCAATATATATAAAAAGTTTGAATCTGAATATTTATTTATTTTTTAACCCTTAATTTATAATTTTGTAAAATCCTTTGTATTTTATATTTAAAAGCACTAAATACAACTTAGAGATTTTTATAGAATTGTTACTAAAAGGATATTACGGGATTTTGTGCATTTTTCTTTTTTTTCAACTTTTTTGTAATTACAAATTTTACTTTATAATGTAAGACATTTTGTACTTTAAACAATGCACACAAGCCCAAAAACATGTCTAACAATGAAAAATAAGAATATATCGTATTCATAATCCCGTTTCAAACGGGATAGCGTTAGCTAGTCATCAATATATATAAAAAGTTTGAATCTGAACATTTATTTATTTTTTAACCCTTCTTTTTTTAAAATTTGTAAAATTCTTTGTATTTTTTGTAAAGAACGAGTAGCATCAATTAGGCTTATACAAGGTGTCTATAGCAAGTTTTCCTTATTATAAAAAGGGAATTTGTAATAAAAAATAGTAGAATAAGTAAATAAATAAAGGCACATTATATCTTATTAAAAAGAAAAGAATACACATTATATTTGTGATCCCGTTTTAAACGGGATAGCGTTAGCTAGTCAATATATATAAAAAGTTTGAATCTGAACATTTATTTATTTTTTAACCCTTCTTTTTTAAAATTTGTAAAATTCTTTGTATTTTCTATTTAAAAGCATTTTAATACAACTTAAAAATTTGTATATAAGTGTTACTTAAATGATATTACACGGTTTTAAGTATTTTTCTTTGATTTTTTGTAATTGCAAAATTGTGACTATTGCAAATTTTACTTTACAATGTAAGACAGTTTGTATTTTAAACAATCCGCACAAGCCTAAAGACATTTTACACTATGAAAAGTAGGAATATATCGTATTTAAAATTCCGTTTTAATAAACGGGATAGATTAGCTATCAATATATATAAAAAGTTTGAATCTGAACATTTATTTATTCTTTAATCCTTCTGTTTTCAAAATTTGCAAACGATTTTCTAAATAAATAACAATCTTTAATAGTTGATTTTATTATTTGAAGCTTAATTTTTCTAATTGTTTAGTCTTGCTTTTATTCAATTATTTAAATAGTAAATTACGCGCTATTGTTATTTTATAATTAAAAGTGTACAATGTTCAATAATAACAGTACATACATGCACAAAACATATACACATAATTTAAACAAAAAAACACGTATCGTATTCGAGCCCCGTTTTAAACGGGATGGCATAATCTAGTCATCAATCATCAATATATATAAAAAGTTTGAATCTGAATATTCATTTATTTTTTAACCCTTCTTTTTAAAAAATTTGTAAAATTCTTTGTATTTTTTATAAATAACGAGTAGCATCATTTTAAGATTTATTTCTCTAAGCACAGCACAGTGTTTTCATGCATTTTTCTCTAATTTTATTTAATTTTTTAAATTTTTTACAAGGTGTCTCTAGCAAATATTAACTTATAATTAAAAAAGCCATTTTTTTATTAAAAATAATAAGTATACGCATAAAGGCGCATTAAATAAATACGTTAAAAAGAAAGAACACACATAATATTTGTGATCCCGTTTTAAACGGGATAGCGCAAGCTATCATCTGTATATATAAAAAGTTTGAATTTGAACATTTTTTTATTTTTTAACCCTTCTTTTTTTAAAATTGTGAAATTCTGTTTTAAT